ATGGGCAGCTCAACTAAGTACCAGTTTATTCCAACATTATTCATCTCCCATTGAATTGCAATTCATTTCCACTTTAGTTCCCTTGTTGCAAACAAACGCCTTGTTAGGGTTAGTCTTTTATTACTACTATTATTATTATTATTAAAATGAAAATTCTTCTAAAATATGGTCATGAGTGAACCGTCAACTATTTATTTTGTATATGATTTAATATTAAAGTATATTTTGTCGACAACAAATTTTGATTTTAAAATTGATTTGTTAGTTGCTATGTGATTTTTTTTTTGACTACTCTATGTGAAATATTTATTACAAGCGCAATGTGAGATTCCTATTTTGTCACTGGCTAGAAGCCTAGAAGCAATAGGAATTATGAAGGGAGTGTGTTGCTCTATCAACTATATATGTCCATCCGAACGCGAATTATTGTACAATTTAATACTTTTTTTGAGCTAATTGTACAAATTAATATTTTTTTTTTTGAAAACCAGTTGTACAAATTAATATAATTGGCCTCAAAGTGTAACATATTTTGAATGTCGTTTGAATTTTTTTAATTTAACATATAATTTAGTACTAAATTACTTAAATTAGACATTGATTTTAAATTATATATAGTTGTATAATTCATAAGAAAAATTGTATTTTATGTCCTTTACAAATATACTAATTATCAATGTCACTCCTGAATTATTGGTGTAAATGTTGTCCCTCAATTTTCAAAAACGTCATATATATTGTTATTGGCGGAAGGACAACAAACAAAGGAAGAAAAATAGAGGAAAAAAATGTGGTTCAAACAAAGAAAACAATGGGTAACCATATTTACATCATTAATAATTCAGGAGAGTAACAATATATGTCACGTTTTAAAAATTGATGGACAACATTTATACTATTAATAATATATGAATGATATCGATAACTAACACATTTGTATGTGACATAAATTACAATTTTTTCTAATCATATGTCGTAAAGAATATATGAAAAATGAAAATTTTAGTCGTTTTCACACTGGACCAATGTCGTTAGTACAATTTTAGTGTAGAATCCGTTTTTTTTGTGAGTGGGAAAATAAATTTGGTTTTGTACACAAACATTATGAATTATAGCATTGGTGCATGGTGGAGCCCATAGTATCCTATATATGGATGCCTAGGTTTTAGAACAAGGACATAAGGACGATGATGATGGGACTTCCCAACCAATTTACATGAATATCAAAGATTCAAATCACCGTCCAATGTCTCCTATATATATATATCGATTCATTCATATGTTTCTATATATCAACCTCAAGAATTGTTTGACCAAAAATTATATTTGCTAAACGTTATATTATTATTATGAAAAAAAATGACATTTTAGTTCATCAATTATGACCAAATTATAGATTTAGTCCTTCAATTATTATCAAAGTAACAAATTTAATTCATCATAAACTATTCTTGCTATTAATGTATTACTTAATAAAGTGACCGATTTAATCCCACAAAAATACATCTCCTAATTCAACATCTATCATCATTCATTTAAAAAAAAAAGAAGATCATATTCCACGTACACGTTAAATTTACAATGAATTAATCTTAATAAAAAATGATGATATTTTGGCTCTGTTTGGTAAATGGCTGTTAGTTGATAGCCGTTAGCTGTTAGCTGATTGGGTTAATTAGAAGGTATAACTAGTTGATAACATTAGCTGATTGTAGAAATGTGTTTGGTAAATTAGCTGTTAGCTGATAGTTGTTTGGTATAATTTCCTTTCTCAAAAGCTAATTGAAAAAGTTACTTTGAGCAGTTTTTTGAATTTTAATAACATTTTGAAGTTACAAAAAACTAATTAACCTAACACTTATATTAATTTTTAACCAAATCAAAAAGTTAATTATAGTCAAAATTATCCTATAGAGTAACTATTTTACCAATCACAGAGGCTAGACCGGTGCTCACTGCGCACAAGGAGCCCCCCTCACTTTGAGAGGTTGCTTCCACACTGCCGCTGGTGAGACTCGATCCCTGGTTATTCTTCCAAAGTTTCACCTCTATGACCAGTTGAGCTACCCATGCGGGTATACCTTTATATATTAATTGTATTTTAGGTGGTAAAGAGAAGTTAGTCTTGATGTGTTTCACCACAAGGTCCACAACTTCACTACTAGTGGATTAGCCATTAATTTTGATATAATGAATGTTTAGCTTGAAATGAAAATCTAAAAACATAATAAGCTTCAATGAAAGTTATATCCTTGATTTATGTCCCTCTTTTTGAATGCAAATAAATGTGTAAATTTTACTTTAAATGTTGTACATTCCAATGTTATTAGACTAAACTACCCTTACACCGGTATAACACCGTTAATTTTTAATTCTAACTTTAATAACACATCATTATTACCATACACCTATATCTATCATATCTTTTTCCTATTTTTAATTATCATTTTATTAAAATCATTATATATTAATTTAATACTTAATTATATTTTAATTAAATTTCTATGAATGATAAATTATATATGTGTGTGTACAAAATACATATATTATTTGTATATATATCATTCAATTTATAATTTTTAATTATTTGAATTTATCAATATTTTAATATTAGGCATGAATTTTCGCGCATCGCGCGTACACAATGCTAGTTATATCAATAAAACTACAAAATTAGACGGTTTTAAAAAAATTGTGGCATAAATTTTGCATATATACTTAATGGATGTTTAAATAGTTATTATTTTATTAACTTTAATCAATTGAAAACTAATTATAATTAATTTATTAAGTACAAGATATTGATAAATTTGAAATGGATAAAAATCTCACCTAGGGATATAATTTTTTTTTAGTCACAGTGCATTGGAGTTTTTCCTTTTTCTTTTATATTTTTCGATAAAAAATGATGAGTCTCGGTAGAAGAAAAAATCTAAACTAAACAAGACAAGGAACTTTCCTAATTCCTCCTGAAGGACCCGCCAAATGGACAAATGGTAGACTTGGAGGACTTCCAATCACAATAATGTATGAAAGTTTGAAAGAGAAATAAGTAAAGATTTTATAAGTATTTGAAAAAATGGTCGGATTTGTGTATCTTTTACGAAAAATCAATTAGGCCTTTAAATTTTCAAACATTATAATTAAATACGGAGTATATGAATTGATTATTTTAGTACAATCTACTCTTTCAGCTGGTTAATCGCGCGCTCGATAACCTTCGGCAAAAGTTTATGTAACAGTCATATTTAGGTTCCCACTGAAGCAAAGTAAAAAAGAAAATTAAAACAACAAAAAAAAAAAAGTAAATTTAAATGGAAAAAAAAAAGGACAAAAGAAAAGGAAAGAAAGTAAAACCACGGTCGATGGAGAAGCACAATACTCAAATTAGTGAAATCCCAAAATTCCCAAAATTACCAGTTGGCCTTCTTCTCTTATTTGTCCTGATCTTCTCGGCAAATTATGTTGTCGAACCGTTACCATCTTAACTGTTCATAATTGTGAATATAGAGTTTTATAATTATAAATATAGAGTTTAGTAATTATGAACTAATTGTGAATATAGAGTTCAATAATTGTGAATATGAAGTTTAAAAATTATGAACATAGAGTTTTATAATTATGAACATAGAGTTCAGTAATTATGAGCATAGAACAGTGTCCACCTTGCAAGGTGGACACGATTCCACGGCATAACAATTGGATCTTCATAGTACTGCGACGACGCTATTGTGAAGGCACTCGTATCTTCGAATGTTGCCCCGGTTGCTGATCAATGACAACCTATATCATGGACCAGGCTCCACATAGCATTATATATGGATCCTGAATTGAAATAACGAGGTACAAAATTTCATAACATCAAGCACAAAAAATCACAACGCAAGACACATAGCAGAGCATTATAAACCCAACTGGATTGTAAAGACGAGGTACCTAATTCATACCCGTATGGTACATAATTTCATACACACAAGACATAAAAATCATAACACAAGACATATACGCATGTTATATATTTACTTATTTTTCAAATACGATTTAAGTACATAAATTTGTGTTTATAGGCACAGAATTTAACAACACAAGACACAATTACTAATTTGTTTCAAGTACAAAATGCATACTCGGTACACAATTTCATAACGCAAAACACAAGTCACAACACAAAACACATACACATGAACCAGTATCCATAATGCAATATGAACCTTATTCCATGATATAAGAGTTGCTGATCCATCTCATTGGCTCACCTTAAACAACGCCCACCTCTTCGATGGCGAGACAGATGGGAAATATGGCCGGATTGTTTAGCCCAAGGTCGTGCATTTCGTCACTCGAAATGCGTATCGAACCCAAATAGACGATATATACAAGCTCGGGTTTGAGGTCGTTCGGCTCTGCTCAAGTTGGTCTGAAGTTTTAAGTATTTTAATTCTTCAAGCATTTTCGATAGTTTGGTCAATGGTAGATTTTTAAAATTTGATGCAATAAATGGAAGTGTTTATAGCAAATTATAAGTTTTTCTTTGAGGAGTTATAGGTACACTTTGATAGATGAAGAAGTAGATTGATGGTAAATTCTTAAGATTTGATGGATCTGTTACTGCTTCACTTGGATTTGTTATTTGAACTTTATGACAATAAAACAAGAGAATTAGTCACTATGTTCGACGGTAAAAACTCTGAATATAAAATATATATATATATATATATATATATATATATATATATATATATATATATATATATATATTGGAGCAAGGGTACTTTCGTCATTCTAAAGGCATAGAAGTACGGAAAAGAATGGTAGAAACATGAAAATATATAATAAGGTGATTACGTTAGTAGTGTTGCAACACAAAATCCACATACTGCGCAGCTGGTTTCAATTGTCGGCAAATGTGAATCCTCGCCGCCGCCGCCGGCAAATTCTCGAGTTACTACTATAAAGTCTGTGTTAAATTAACATTAAGATCGAGCTTTAATTTGCACGTTGTTGGGTACGCGCGTTTAGTTAAGAGCTTGGCGGATAATTAATTTACCTGTGAAGTGGTTGAGATATGCAAGATGTTCATCCAATTGGCGGCGGCGGAGCTAGGATGTTCGCCGGTGGAGGTGATCGGAGGCTGCGGCCAAACCACCACCACCTGACGGCGGAGCTGAAGTGCCCCCGCTGCGATTCGCTCAATACCAAGTTCTGCTATTACAATAACTACAACCTCTCCCAGCCGCGCCACTTCTGCAAGAGCTGCCGGCGCTACTGGACCAAAGGCGGCGTCCTCCGCAACGTTCCCGTCGGCGGCGGCAGCCGGAAAACCACCAAGCGCTCCAAGCAGAAAACAGCCGAGTCGTCGTCGTCGCCGCAGCAGCCCGAGTCCAATTCCCATTCCAGTAGCGAGAGTTCTAGCATCACGGCCGCCGCCGCGGCGGCGGCGGTCGGAGCCACCGAAGTGGTGGCGGAGAGTGCGAACGATCAGCCGTTGATGGATCACTCAACGGACGGTCAGATCTTCCAGGAGCTCGGGTGCTTCACCACCCTGATGACGTCATCGGACGACCCGTCTCTCGTCGTGGAGTTCACCGACGCTGCCGCCGCCGACACGCTACGGTTGCAGTGGGGCCCGCAGGCAAAGATGGACGGCGAGGATGGAAAGATGCAGGAGATCACGGCAGCCGGGTTTTTAGACGATGCTACGCAGAGCAGGAGAAGCAACGGTGGACTCTCACCGCTGGATTGGCAAATCGGAGGTGGGCAAGGCCACGGGCTGTTTGATCTTACCGGAGCCGTTGATCAATCATACTGGAATGATGATCACACCCTTAATTACCTCCCTTAATCATTATTCTGTCCAGTATTAGCTATTAAGCTCTTCAGAACTTCAACTCCGAGGTAATAATAGACAAAATCATGGAAAAAAAAAAGAAAAAAAAACATATATTAATAATGTCATTGAGTACACTATTAACTACTCTAATATTCACAAATTCCACGTTTTCTTTTCTGGTTTCTTGGATTTTCTTTTAACCACCTAGGAGGATTATTGAGACATTTCATATGATGTTTTGAAGTCATGCTTTTAGATCTTGGCAACTGGATTAAGGTTTGGTAGTTATTTCTTAATTTATATATGCAGTATAATTAATTATATTATATAACCTTCATGGATGATTTTTTTTTTTTATTCTCTCCCTCTCAATATTTGTTTAAGGGAAAAGTGAGTTTTTTTTTTTTTTTTTTTTTAATAACTGAGTAGATTAAATCAAGAACTCCGTAATGGAGTTAGGGGAGGGGGGGGGGGGTGGGGGAGGGGAGGGAGACAACGCCCCAAAACAACGAGTAGGGCGGGTGGGGGTGGGGGGGGGGGGGCAACGCCCCAAAACAACGAGTCTTCCTTGCAACGAGGAACTACAAGATTTAGCTAAAGTGAGTTTTGCGTGGCTTTACTTCCATTCTTTTTTATTTTTTTTTTAATTCAATTTTCACTACTGGAAATTATTGAATTTTCGACCACTTGAAAGTGATCTTAAATCAAGTTAAAAGCAAAAAGTGGTCGGAAATAGTAACAAGGGTTTTTCCGGATACCAAAAGTGGTCGGAACAAGACTTTCGACTTGATTTAAGATAACTTTTAGGTGGTCGGAAATTTCAGAATTTCCAGTAGTGTTTCCAAAATTTCCATTCTTTATTTTTTTAGTACTTTTATTTTTCAAGATATATTGATGTATAATTAAACAAATTCCCTGTTTTTCTTTTTCTAAAAATTTTTTTTTAAAAAATTATCTAACTGTAAACATAACTTTAATTTCCAAGTTATGTTTCAATGGTTGTTTTAATACGTGATCATGTATATATAGTTCTTGAATTTGTAAGAATATAGCTTTGGTCTACACACACAATATATATATATATATATATATATATATATATATATATATATTTGGGATCACTACGAACGGTCATTTCAATGTGAAAGTGTGAATTGAACAAATGCATGCACCGCAATTATTACATGAATGCGGAGGGAATTGTGAAGACTGCAAGGCTGATTTTTAGATTTTTGTGGCCCTGCTCTGATAAATAAATGAGGTCCTATCAAAATCACAATTTTAAAGCCAAAAGACATTATGAAATAAATTACAATTATAACAATAAACACACATTCCTACCGTTTCTACATGGAGCGTTTTAAGTTTAATTAAAAACTTTTAATTTTTATTTCTAAACTAACTAGATAAAAAGATTAAATATTGGGTCTCTAAAATTTGGAGCTTTGTGTTGTAGTCTAGCTTACACAGTTCAAAATCTGGCCCCGAAGGACTGAGATTATCCAATAGTATTTTGAAATTAATGCTCATCACACCTCCAGACTCCGGCCATCTCCACCAAAACTATCGCCATTGCCACCTCCCCTGTATGCCATCACGACCATCACCACCACCACTGATTCCACTGCGATTTGGTGAAGATATCTGCAAGCTTCACCAAACTCACCAGCCGACACAAAATGAACCTGAAACTCACCAGCCGACACTTTGTCCCGGACAAAGTGGTAGTCAACCTCGACATGTTTGGTGCGGCATGAAAAACCGGATTCGCGCATAGGTAGGTAGCGCCTAGATTGTCACACCACAACATGGGCGCAGTGGTAGGACCTAAGCCAAGATCCCGTAATAAAGACACAACCCAGGTGACCTCGGCACAAACATCAGCCAGACCTTTGTATTCAGCCTCTGTCGAAGAGCACGCAACTGTGCGTTGCTTCCGAGAGACCCAGGAGACAAGATTCGTCCCAAAGAACATGGCATAGTCACTGGTGGATTTCCGATCGACTGGGCAACCAGCCCAGTCAGAGTCTGAGTAGGCATGAATATCGGAGGACGCTGAAGTAGAGATGCGGAGTCCGTACCAAAGTACCTTAAATATAGCGGAGGACACGCTTGAGAATGCATAAACTGACAGAGTCGGTTGACAGAATAGGACAGATCCGGGCGAGTAATGGTGAGATATTGGCAAATGAGTCAGTGGACTGACAGACAGGTTGAGTGACTGACGCCGGAGTTGCTAGAGACTTACAGTCGGTCATACCTACCCGGTGGAGAATATCACGCATATAACGGCGTTGCGAAAGAATCATACCCTCCGGAACGACAAGCGTTTCTATACTGAGAAAGAATGTGGGTTTCCCAAGGTCTCGGATTTTGAACGCCGTAGCCAGTTTCCGTAGCAAGGAATCGACCAAGACCGCGTCATTCCCGAGCATAATGATGTCGTCCACATAAACGAGTAAGAAAACCCTGGAATTCCCAGCCGAGTAGTGGAACAGGGAGACATCCGTCTTCCAAGCTATAAAACCTGTGAGAAGCAAGAAATCATGCAGGCGTTTGAACCAGGCCCGAGGCGCCTATTTCAACCCATATAGGGAACGCTGTAAGGGACAGATGTGATCTGGGATATCGGGATCCTCATCTCCCGGTGGTTGCCGCATATAGACTGTTTCAGCCAGGTGCCCGTTCAGAAAGGCGTTGTGGACATCCAACTGGCAGACTGTCCACCCGCGAGATATGGCTAAAGAGAGTAATAGCCAAACCGTGGTCGGTTTAACTACCGGGCTAAACGTCTAAAAGAAATCATCGCCGACCACTTGATTGAAACCTTTGGCCACTAATCGGGCCTTGTAGCGTTCCACTGTGCCATCGATGTTACGCTTGGTGCGAAAAACCCATTTGCACCCCACAATATTCACGTTCGGAGTGGCGGGTGTAAACACAAAAAAGTAAACTTTGTATATATTCACAAAATTTCGTGTACAGCGTGTGTATAATTCAATGTGCAGGTACAAGATCTATGTCTAGTCCTCTGATTCTTCACTGACGTTATCTATTGAAGTGCCTCCAGGATTCAAATAGCATAGCCTCCGGGATTCAAATGGCGCGTGCCTCCAGGATTCAAACGGCGTAGCTTCTGGGGGGTTCAAGTGGCGTGATCTTCAACAGCAAACGTCAAGCTTCGGAGCAATCAACTCTGCAAAGCATCAAATTAAAGAACCTACAATGGCTTCAAGTTGCCTTCAAAAGGCTTCAAGATCTTCAAAGTACTTGCAAAATGGCTTTAAGTTGCTTCAAGATCTTCAAAGCTTGCAAAAAATGCCTTCAATGCCTTTAATTCTTCAAGATCTTCAAAGCCTGCAAAAAATGCCTTCAATGCCTTTAATTCTTCAAGATCTTCAAAGCCTGCAAAAAATGCATTCAATGCCTTTAATTCTTCAAGATCTTCAAAGCCTGCAAAAAATGACTTCAAAAGAGCTCTCAAATCTTCAAGCCTTTAAGTTGTCAAGCGTTCTTCAATACCTTCAAGCTCTCAAGTCTTCAAGTTGTTTTCAATGTATTTGAGGTGTGATTTAAAGAATGAAATTGAGGCTCTATTTATAGTGAAGTTTGTAACTAAAATCCCTCAACAAACTCCACTAATTTTTATTAAATTAAATTAATTAATTATCTACTAAAATGAATCTTGCCAAAATCAAGTCTAGGTTCATTATTCTATCATCTAATTCAAATTCAAATTAAATTATAATTATCTAATTCAAATATAATAAAATCATATTATATTTAAATTATAATTATAATTATAATTCAATTATGAAATGGGATTGAACCAATTAATTAATTAATTCAATAGCCCAAATCAAATTTACTTAGACTAATTAAATTGATTTAATTATCATAGCCCAATTAATTAAATTGGACTAATAATCAATCCCGAAATTGGGCTCTATAATGATTTAATCGGTCCACTTGTTGGTTTCAAATTTTCTGTGTCTACAAATTGCCCCCCTCGAGACTTTCTTGGACATGCCACTTGAGAGCATACACTGCTTGAAAGTATGTAGTGCATGGAAGTCTTGAAACTATAAGGCCATTTCAACTCGTGCCAAGGAGCCTTGTGGGATATGAGGTAGTTTCGACTCGTGCCGGGGAGCCTTGAAGGAATATGAGGCAGTTTAGACTCGTGCCGGGGAGTCTTGAATATGATGCGTTTTCAATTCACATTGAGGAAGCTTGTAGAATATTTCCTCCATCACATATTGTGGTATAATGTGTTGAGGCACATTCTTCTTTAGCATATGGGTTGATTAGAGGAATTTTCATCTTCACTCCTTGGTTAGTTGGAGTAATATTGAACCACTTCGGCACGTAATCCGCCAATGTGACTGGAACTTGTGCTTTCATATGGTGGCTGTAAGTCCTCCCATCAATAGGGCCCTTTAACATTCTCTTCTTAATCCACATTTTCATAGCTTGCTTAGGCAGTCGTGTTGCAGCACAAAAGTGATGTTGCTTAGCATGCTTAATACCAAGTCGAGTACCATACTCGGGTTTGGTATCATAAGACTCGGTGTTAAGAGGGAATATACACTTGTGTCGTTTCCCTTTCATCTTCACATTGTTCCTCTCAATGAGTAGCGAAGTAGATTAACCGCATGAGATGGAAACTTGATTAGCGCTCGCTGTGCCATCTGCAAGTTCAATTCTCCCATCTCGAGCTAACTCCATTACTTTATCCTTAAAGACAAAGCAATTTTCAATTGGATGTCTGACAAGTCTATGAAACTTGCAATAACTTGGATGATCCACCATTGATGCCTCGTGTGGTCACCTCATTACTGGCAAATCAACGAGATTGTGTTCTAATAGCTCATCAAACATATGTGGAACATCAGAATCCAAAAACGGATACTTCTTATTTTGTCTTTCCCTGTAAGAAAGCCTTCTACTACCATGTAATGATCTAGAAGCATCCTTAGACTCACTATTAGCTTCAATGAATATCCTAGTTGGTTGAATATTCACATGCATAGCATCCATGCTTTCATATTTCTTAAAGGCATTGCCCCCATTTTCAACGTCATCATGACTTTTTCCCCCATTGTAGAAGCTTTGAATGGGTATGTTTTGTCCACCATTAGCTGTTATGCTTAACTCCATATCGTGGGCGCGACTAGATAATTCCTCAAAAGTCTTAGGCTTGAGCCCTTGGAGGATGTAGGAGAGCTCGAAGTGCATGCCTTGGATGCACATTTCAATCGCGGAGCTCTGTGATATCTTTTCCTTGCAATTCAAGCATAACTCCCTCCATCTTTCAATGTAAGCGGTCGA